GGGTTGTCAGACCCTCCTCCCAACCCTCACCCGCACCTGGGAGCCAGGCCCTGGGAGCCCATCTGTAACTAAATATTCTTCTAATTTGTGATGATAGCTAGTTTCTTGGGGTGTGAGGACAGCCCCAAAATGGGAGCTGAGGGTTTTACTCCTGCTTCTGCTATTAACTAGTCTAGTGCATGACCTGGAGCAAGCTTTTAACTGAGTTGGTTAATTCACGGAGAGAGCCAGCCTCCAGGTGGATGGAGAGGGCTCTGCCCTGCAGTCAGGTGGATCTGCGTCTGAGTCCTGGCCCCGCCCCTTCTGGGCTGCGTGACCCCATGTGAGATGCAAGCTCTCTAACCTCGGTCTTCTCCTCTGCAAAGCAGGATAACAGTGCCTTCCTCAGAGTATGGCTGGGATGGGGCGGGGGGCGGTAGTTGAGAACAGATGCAGCAACCCCAGGTAGAGCAGAGCCCAGCGCACTAGAGGAGGGTAAGGAATTGTATTCCCAACTTCCCCGCCAAAGTCCTATCTCTAAAGTGAGGGTTTGGGAAGGGGTAATATTGGATTGCACAATAGCCAGTGCTGACAGTCAAGCTCTTTTCCATATGAGCTGGCAAGATGCCCCTGTCCTGAGGAGTTTTCGGGGGAAATGGAGTTCTGGCAAGTCCAGCCCCAGGGACCGAGGCGAGGGAGGAGGCTGGAGCCAGGTGTGTCTGCAGCCTGAGCAGTGACTTCCCAGCAAACTGCCATCCAGCCACCCTCCCTGCACAGCTGTTCTGGTTATTAAAGCGTCTAAATACACTCCTCCACTGGTTGCCAAATAATCCCTGCGTTCAGTTCTAGCCCCTCCAGGGAGTGCTCCCTGGTCCTTATCCCAGGACCCTCCAATACCCCCATGAACTGGAGGATTACTGCCCATCCCAACTCCAGGGCCGCAGCCTGGCCATGCCTGTTGTTAAACTTTCACCCTGATGCCCAGCCAGGGCATCCTATTGGAAGGATGAGCTTTTCTAAGTCCCTGAAGTTCTTACCTGGATCCCGTAAGCTACCCCATACACTCGGGTTCCGTAAGCTCACTGGTTTCAGGTTCCCATAATCACAGACGCTGTACTTTGATCTATTACGTCTTTCTACTGTATTACGTCTTTCTACGTCTTTCTATCCATTACCTCTGGGGCCATGAAGTTTTGCTTGTGTCTAGCAGCACTCCAATTGAGCTGATCATATCAGGAGCAAAATATGTACACTCATGTTAATCCCAGAAGGTCATTTTTCACAGACCTCATTTCTGGAATCATCTGGGCCCAAGACCCGAGTCCCATGTTCCCACTGCCTTCTTCTCCGCACCGCCCCTCTGGGCTCTCTCTCAAACCCTCCAGGCTCTGGCTCCCTGCTGGCAGATGTAAGAGTGCTTTGCAGAGTGCTTTGCAATTGGGTGTCTTCTGCAAATTCCTGGGCTAAAGGTGTAATCTGAGGCTCCAGGCTGACCACAAAGGAGCCATCTGTGGCCGCTAGAAAGCGAGAACTTCTCCAAGTACCCTTACAGTTCTGATGTGCTCTATCTGTTTAAAAAAGAGAGAGGTGATGAAATGTGTCAGAAGAACACTGTAAATAGAAGGACTGCCAGAGTGTGGGGATTATTTGGGGGCTTTGGGGGAATGAAGGGTGAAAAGAAGACTCTGCCAGGAAAATAGATTTTCAGAGGACAAGACCGAGCACGAGGAGATCAGGGTAAGCAGCACCTGTCTTCATGTTTGCTGATGGTCACTTTCAAGTAATGTGACAGTATAATTGTGGTTATGAACGTGGGCTTAAGAATTAGAATTGGATTCAAACTCAGTTTCCTTTGATTCTAGCTGAGTGCCCAAAGCCAAAGGACTTAGACTCAGATTCTCTATCTGTAAAGCAAGGCTAATAGTAAGATAAAATATAGAGATTATATACACAACACTTAGCATTTGGAAGACACTCAGCAGATGGTAGCTGTGTTGTTAATGGGGCTGAGTTAGAGTAGAAAGAAATGGTCAGCCTCATCGGAAGGTATCGTGTTAGATGACAGCAGAGAGCTTTTCCTGGGAGGCAGGGAGACCTCAAGTGAGGTCCTGCGGGAAGCTGTGGATGCTCATTCTCTCCCAGCGAAGACACAAGGGAGCTGGGCAGGGCCAAGGGCAGCCCCTCCTGGAGGCAAGAGAAGACCTATGATGGCCAAGAGGATCGTGACCCTGGGTTCAGAGACATGAGGAGTGACCCCTGCCTGGGCTGAGTCCTCAGGGAGCTCCCCACTTGTAGCCCTCTAGCTGCCTTCTGAGAAAATGGGCCGGGGGAACAGGTTTCACCAGAATTGCTCTCCTGGATGAAAGCTGACTCCTGCCTCCTCACCAGATCAAACCAGGACACACGCTCTGCCCAGGTGGGGAGTGAGAATGACGAGCCCACGTGCCCAGAGGCTGAGCCGTATTTCCAGAACCAAAAGAGAAGCAGTGTTGTGACCTTTGGCCCAGTTACAAAGCTCAAAAGGCAATCCCATTAGAGCAAGTTATTGACCATGAATATATTCAACATTTCAGAGTTAATCTCACAGAAGGAATCCTCAGGCCTGTATGTGTCTGCCAGTGTGGCTTTTGTTCCGATTGTGAGGCAGTTGTTGGGGAGAGAGGAGGAAGAAGCCCTAAAACTGACGTATGTATCTATCTCAGGGACTAAGCAACTGTCTTCCCAGCCATCGTCCTATTGTTCCTGGTCAGAATTAAGCCCCAGAAGAGGCTGGAAGGACAGCCATCAAAATAACTGTTCTCATGACAAGGAAAAAAATATTTAACTATGTGTGATGATGGATAACTAAACTTCTTGTGGTAATCATATGGCAATACTAAACACATACATCAAATCATTATGTTGTATACCTCAACCTTATACAATGTTATATGACAATTATTTCTTAACTTTTAAAAAGATGGCAATACCTATATTATAAAGGTTTTATGAGGATTAGAAACTATAAGAGAAGTGTCTAGCAAATACTAATGTTACCAAATGCAAGTCCGTGTACCCGATGCACAGTGAGGCCAAACAATACCAAAACGTCGGAGTTTGGAGCAGAGGAAAGTTTATTGCAGGGCCATGTAAGGAGACTGGTGGCTCATGCCTTAAAAATTCCCAAACTCCCTGAAAGCTTTCAGCAAAGCCCTTTTATAGGAAAGGTGAAGGAGGGGCATGGTTAGTTGTTGCAGACTTCTTGGTGTCCGATCCTTTGTTCTTGAGGTCAGGTCACAGTCAGGTAACGATGTTCCTGTAAACCTCCACCAAAACAAATGTTATTCTCTCTTCTGACAAGAAAGGGCAAGGTCCCAAGGCTCAACTTTTGCCTTCTGAGGTCCAGGCTCTGGTAAGTGGAGGGGGATCCCTATGTGGACTGGTTCCCTGCCTGGGAGTGTTGGACCAGCTTCCAGTCTGGGTCCTTGCGCCAATGCCCAGGCCCGGCTGAGGAGGCAGATCTCAGCTGGCGGTGTCCTCAGGGCGAGATCCCTAGACCCTGCCCAGATCTCATCACTGAGGAAGCCAGGCACCCAGGAACCAGCTGGCCCTCGGGGTCCTCAGGCCACCCAAACAGGGGTGGGTCCCACGGCCTGTGACCCATGGAGACCCCGCCGCCATTAGGTCGCAGAGGTGGGGACTGCGGAGAGGTTCACTGCTGCTTCATGGCCTGGGCCCGGCCAGTGGGTGGCCATGGCAAGGGCTCTGGAGCTCTGCGAGACCCAGCACCCAGCCTGTCCCCCAGGAGCCCAGCTCACCCGCTGGCCTGAGGCTGGAGGGCCCTGGGGAGAAGGCTGCTGTCCACCTCCACTGCACTCTCTGCCCCAGGACCCCCGTGAGGCTGACTGAGTGGAACCTCTAACCCCTGAGCTCAGGGTCTCGCACTAAGGGTCGGTGCCTGTCCTGCCCCGCTCTGCCCCGCCCCTACTGCAGTACATGTTCAGTAGATGCTATTACAAATAGTATCATCTCTGATAACCGCCAAGGCAGATGAACTATCTGTGGGCAGTCTGAGTTGAAAATAAAAATAATTATAAATAGTGACCTTTTCTGAGTGGTGGCATTATGGGGACTTTTTTCCTTCATACTCTCATGTTTTTCCCTAAATCCCAATGTTATATTGTTTTTAATTTTTATTTATTTATTTATTTGTCTGCGTTGCGTCTTCATTGCTGCACACGGGCTTTTTCTTGTTGTGGCGAGCGGGGGCTGCTCTTCGTTGCAGTGCGCAGGCTTCTCATTGCCATGGCTTCTGTTGTTGTGGAGCATGGGCTCTAGGCGCCCGGGCTTCAGTAATTGCAGCACGCGGGCTTCAGTAGTTGTGGCTCACAGGCTGTAGAGCGCAGGCTCGGTAGTTGTGGCGCATGGGCTTAGTTGCTCCACGGCATGTGGGATCTTCCCGGACCAGGGCTCGAACCTGTGTCCCCTTCATTGGCAGGCAGATTTTTAACCACTGCGCCACCAGGGAAGTCCCCCAATATTATTTTAAATACAGAAGAATTGCATCTTCTTGGAAGGGTAGAAAGTGATTCTAGTAACATGGAGTGGACGATGTGGAGAGTAAAGGGTTCCAGTTCAGAGGCCTCTATAAATGTCGTTGGGTGGGTTGGAGGAGTCCGATGGTGTCTGCCATGGGCGTGGGCTGGGAGTGGACAGTAAAAAGACTCGTCTAAGCCTGGGTAAAATGCTCAGGAAAAGGGCTTCCAATTCCAAGATCCAAACAAGCAAGACAGGGACGGAACAGGCATGAAGCTGTCCCTCTTCCCAGGTGTGCTGGCTCAGAGTGGGGTGAGGACAAAGCCCCTCACGTCCACAGCCTCGGGCCGCCTGGGGACCAGAAGCAGCCTCCAGAGCCCAGAAACACCAATGGACAGTGGGGAGGTTACTTGAGCCTGGGCAGTGGGAGCCTGTGCTGCTCTCTCCGTCAAGGCCACCTGCCACAATCCCCCAAAGAGCGAGTCCACTGTCCTCTCAATCCACAGGAGGAGCTGTCTCCATGCCACCTGCTGACAGTGAGGGTCATCCGGATGAAAAACGTCCAACAGGCTGACGTGGGTGAGTATCCCCTCCCTCCTCCCTCCTTCTCTGCGTCTGGGGCCAGCATGGAGACAGGCCCCGGGGGAGAAATGGTCAGGTGTGGCTGTGTGTGTGCGCATGAGTGTGTGTGTGTGTGTGTGTGCACGCTCTATGTTCAAGTTGTATTTCAGACTTTGGGGTTTGTATCATTTTCCCAGGCCCCTCCCTCTAGCTGCACCCTTGGCATGACCGGCCCCTGCATTCGGCCTCCTCCAACGGCTCACTTCGCTCTCTCCTCCCCACTCTCCCCTCCCTGGGATCCGTTCCAGGAGTAGCTTCTCCCACACTGGGCACTCCTTGACTCTGCATGAGTTTAGGGGCTGTTAGGGGTGGCGGGGAAGGAAGGGCCCTTGAGTACCATGGAGCCAGCTGCCGGCCAGCCCCAGTGCTCTTCTCAGGACCTGGATCTCAAACGGGTTCTACAGTGCATGCCAGGTGCCCCATAGTGCCGAGTTCCTCAGTTCAAGCCATGGATGTGGTTTGACTCACCAGGGCTCTTTGTGCAGGGTCTTTTTGCAGCTTTAATGTCCCTTTCATCCCAGCCCCTGCTGCATTCCCAGACCACGGGGACCCAGGGAAGTCTTTGGCTTCAGAAAGAAATGAAGGCATCTGGGTGGGCAGAACAAAAGCCCCTCCCTATGCTGCCCTCATCTCCCCCCACCGCATCCAGTGAGGAAGCTTGGCCCTCAAGGAGGAGAAAGCTCTGTGTCAAGGCCCATGGCTGAGGGGGTCCCCACTCACTGGTGACCACACAAGAATCACCCAAGGGCTCCAGTTTCCCCAAAGCTCTGTTATACTGCCCTCACCCCAGGATTCAATTAGCCTGGGAGAGCCGTGATACACGGCGAGGTGTCTATGCCCAAAGCAATTATAGAGCAGTAATAGAGGATGGCATTCTCATCTTGTCACCACAGAATTTAGAACTGGAGGACACTGAAAGCTGGGAGTAGCTGAGGAAAGCTGCTTTGAGGGCACAGGGTGTGAGCATCCAGAGGCCTGGGGAGCCCAGTCTGAGGGAGAGGAGCTGCGTCCCCCCGAGCCCCTGCTGGGGGCCAGCTGGGGCCAGACATCCAAACACCATTCATCTTCCACACGACCTGAGGGCAGGGCTGTGGGGCCCATTTTGCACATTGAGGATTAACTGCCGAAAGCAGAATCAGTGTTTGATGCCAGGTCTGGACCGCTGGGGGTTAAGGGAGACGAGCCAGGAGGAGGAGGTCAGGGCCGTTCAGAGGGTTGACAGGAATCTAAGTGGTGGGCACCTGAGCTCTTGAGGAAGGGATTGCATGACTTCCCGAGGGCTATATGCAGATGGTGCAGGAGCACAGGTGGGAGAGGCTGACGAACCTTCCGGGAAGCTGTCGCTGCAACACTGCCATGTAAGGATGAGTGTGGAGGGTGGAGGAAGGAGGGCCCTGGAGCCCCAGAGAGAACAAAGGGATCAGGCAGCATTCAGACTGGGGCCCTGGGAGGGTGAGTGTCCAGAGCCCATGCCAGGGGAGCAATTGCAGCCAGCATCATTTTGGGCCTGGCTCTGTCACAAGACCAGCCAGAGGGCCACGGACTTCTTGGGCTTCTCGGGACCTCTCAGGCCACCAGTGAGTGTGACCTGAGGAGCCTGGAAGTGTCTGCTGGACCCAGGACCTGCCTGCCTCTTCTGCCTTTCCTGCTGTGCCAGCATGGGTCATCAGACACCTCAGCCCATTTCCCTCAGGGACGGCCACAGCTCTCACATGCCGGCAGCTGCCTCGCCTGCCTCGGCTCCTCTGGAGGCGTGTCTGTCCCAGCCCTGTGCGTCATGCGGCCTCACACTCGCACGGCGTGCCTACACCTGTGCGCTCAGACCTTCCCCCGCATCCAGGGCCCTTCCTTTTGTCTTCTCCCTGCTACACCCGTCACCTATAAGCCCTAGAGGTGGGGGTGGGATGGGGAACAGGAACCAGAGAAACAGGCTGAGGTCTGCTCCACCATCCTCCTCTCCCCCTTCCCCACACACGCCTCTGGCACACAGGCTGCCCTTCGGGGACACCCTGGCCCCTTTGGGAACCCCTTTTTATGTTTTCCTCATTTCCCTAAAGAACAGCATCCGGGGGCAGCCATGGTGTCTGGGGGTGTCAGCAGCCCAGGTCACGTGTCTGGATCCACAGTTGTCACAGGCTGGGATCTGTTGCTGCCTCACCTGGGTTGAGTCTATCCTAACCTCTTGCAGGTCCTGGGTTACCCTTGCCCCACATTGTGCCTTCCAGCTTGGATCAAAAACAAGCTCTTCTCTGGTTCAGCCCTGTAATGGGTGCCTGAGTTTCTAAGATTTCCAGGAGGCTGAAAGGGATGAGATTCAGGGATGAGATTTAGGGGTGACTGCCCCATCAAGGAGCACACCACCCAGCCCTGCACCAGGGCTGGGAGAAAATCAGCCCGGAAATCTCCCCGCTGTCAAGAGTTTTTACTCCTCTTGGGAAAATAAACTCAAATCAGCACTCCCAGGGGGTGTGAGGCAGGTGTCTCTAAGGTATTAGGAAGACAATGTTCTTGACATCTATAGAGATCATTGAGTCATCTTGGCCACCCACATTCTGGGAAAAGAGATATGTCATTCTGATGACCAAGCCCTCTGTCACTTCATGAAGAACAAGGATTAGAACCTATCTGTGCTTAGGAAATTCCCTGAAGTCCCTGAAATTCTCAGAATTGGGTCATCCTTGCTTAACCACTCTTCATTGCCAGCTCGACGGTCACTGCCTTACAGTCAGTTAATTATGCCCATGCCCCAGATCGTCATCTGGGTCCAGCGGCTACCTCATCATCCCTCCTTCCCCAGGATTATCCCCTCTTGGGCTGTACTCTCCTTCCCAACCTTGTTGGGGAGGAGGTGGAACGCCTCCCTGCGAAAGGACTGGGAAATAAATTAATGCTTGACATGTGGGTGTCTGATCAATCCTGGCTCTTCCAGGAGTTTTTTTTATCTTAATTAGAGATTTAAGTCTTTGGCCAAAATAACTTAAACTTTATTTAGTGGATTTAATGGGACAATTTTAGGCATGGACTGATGATAGCAAAGGGATGTTAGAGGGAAAGGGGCCTTTACAGGGTCCTTCAAATCATGCTAAGCAAGTAGGTGTAGGCCTGGTGGGTCCCAGCCTGCAGGCTCCTTGTGTACAGGAGGCAGACAAGCAGGAGGTGCCCCAGAGTCCAGGAAAAGCCAAGGGAGGGGTCCAGGAGGACTAAGCAGGTCCCCAGGGAGTCTCCCTCTGAGCAGAGCCATTAAACATGCCTATCTATATCTGTGGTGACTCAGCCCAGAATTTCTTGGGTACTGATACAGCCCAATAGCAGGAAGTTGGGCTTTTCTATCATTCATTTATTCAACAAATATCTAGCGGTGCCAACATGGGTCTCCTGAGCTTCCCAGGGTGCAGTGGGAGGTGGAGACAGATGCACCGACCTGCCATTGCAGTGAACTGTAGCCAGTGCTCCATCGGGAGGAGAGCAGAGGGCCCTGGGCTACAAGAGGCACCTGGCCCAGTCTTGGAGGTTCAGACGAGGCTTCCAGAGGAGGTCTCTTCTGCAACCTGAAGGGGCTAACCAAGGAAGGGTGGCGTGAAGGAGGAACAGAAGGGTGTTCATTGCAAGATGGCATGGCCTTTGAGACCTACAAGGGACTGGGTTTGGCTGGAGTCTGGAGTGTGAGTGTTTATGTGCGTGCATGTGTGCACGCACCTCTGTGTGTGTGTGTGTGTGTGTGTGTGTTTGGGGGCAGGGCAGGGGCTGGGGTGATAGGGAAGATGGAAAGATGAAGCTGAGGCTGGGAAAGTGGGAGGGGCATCCATGCTGAATGGGTGGGACTCCTTTCTGAAGGCATATGGGAGCCACTAAAGGATCTTAAACTGGAGAGTGACATGGTCAGATGGGAAAAGAGCCCTCTGGTTTCTCTAAAGAGAAAAGATTAGGGTGGGGCAGGACAGAAGACAGGGCACCCACTGGGGCAGTGGCAGCAGAGATGAAGGTGGCTTGCACCAAGGCAGTGACCATGCAAGTAGGGAGAAGTGGACAGGCTGGAGAGCTCCAAGGAGTTAAGTCGACTCAAGGTGAGAGTCAAGGGCGATATTTGGTGTCTAGTCAGGACACCTGAGCTGACGGTGAGGAAGAACAGGTTAGGTGTGGAAGGAAAGATAGGGATGATGTCATCATTTTCTTTTGACTCTGTTGGGTTTGGGTCATTCTTTGTGTTTGGATTAATGATGATTATGACATTTAAAGGACAGGGTCATCTCACCTCTATTCAATGGGAGGAAGGCCATGAATTCCAATTCACTGAATGGTGAGCCCTCACAGATTAACCAGACAGCGGGGATGAAATCAGAAACTAGGGATGCTTGTGATGCAAACCATGGTTATTAAGTCTGATAAAGTTCTCAGTATAGAGACAATATAGGACTAAGTCAGTCTGGGGAGTGGGTCACCTCTGGTTCCACTCTCACAGGACATTATTAATTATAATTAGGAGGTAGTTTGGATGAGTCTTATCAGTACAGAGCTCGCATCCCTGCCCAGCTTTACTATCTACAAGACTCTCTGACACTGGAAACTGTATTGACTGTTCCCGTTCTCTATGAATTGGGTGGGTACCCTGGGAATGACCGAAGAAGAGTGACAAGAGCAATCGTGGCACCTCTTCCTCCCTCCTCCCAGGTAGAATGGAGGGAAGGAGCTGGGCTGGGCTGCCATTTTTCACTGTATGCCTTCTGCTGCTCCAAACAGAAGACCCAGGAGGCCTTCTTTCACTTCAGGAGGGCCTGTTGAGGTCACAGCCTTTGTCCTTCTCCAGAGCACTTACAGCATCATCACAGTTGCGTTGTTCTTTCAAATGAAAAATAAAGTATGTGGTCTTAGATGTGAGGGTTTCTTGGGTCACACACCCCATGTGGGGAGACCAGCAGAGATATGAAAAGCCCGTCGGGGTGTATCTGAGACGTTAGTCATGTGTGGATGGTAGTCCCTGCCCCTAGATCCTGCTGAATAGCTTGTTCCACTCAAGCCCTTCCCCGCTGGGGCCCTCTAGGCTGACTCCCAGCCGATGGTGTCCCTTCTAATCCTTGTTGCTCCTCAGCCCAGAGGAAGAGCTGGGCCCTACTGTGGTTTCCCTGGTGCCCTGGGCTAAGGCAAGAGATAAACTGGACCCTTGGGGGCTAGTCCTCCAGATCTTCCCCTGGCAGTGGGAAAATTGTGCAACTGTACCTTGTCCCAAACCAACAGGTGTTTGCTCAGAGAGCCAGGGTGCTGCTGAGAAGAGCCAGAGGCCATCTGTGTCCACGAGAACAGTCAGTGGGACCTGGGTCCCCTCTGTGAAACCTCTAGCCTGCAGTCCGTGACCTTCTCAGGGTTCTGGGACAAAGGTCTCTGGAGAGTCAGAGCCATGAGTCAGGAGGGGACCAGAAGCTGGCTTCTGCCTCCACACTCTCTCCTCTCCGGACCTGGGTTGGCTCCTCACCCTCCCCTCCCACCCTTGTCTTCCTCGGACAGTAAGCCTGACAGACTGCTTTGTGAGCCTCTGGCTGCCCACCAGCTCTCATAAGAGGCTGAGGACTAGGACCATCTCCAACTGCCGAAACCCAGAGTGGAATGAAAGCTTCAAGTTCCAGATCCAGACCCAGGTGAAGGTGAGACGTGGGGGACAGCACCTGCCTGCCCTTCTTGCTATTCCCCTCCTTGCCTGCTTGTCCTTCTCTTTGATCATGTGCCCTTCTTATGACTATTTGTTTTTCTTTCTTTTTTTAAATTAATTTTTATTGGAGTACACTTGCTTTACAATGTTGTGTTAGTTTCTTGCTGTACAGCAAAGTGAATCAGTTATACGTATACATATATCCCCTCTTTTTTAGATTTCCTTCCCACTTAGGTCACCACAGAGCACTTGAGTAGAGTTCCCCGTGCTATACAGTAGGTTCTCATTAGTTAACTATTTTATCTATAGTAGCGTATATATGTCAGTCCCAATTTCCCATTTCATCCCACCCGTCTTCCCCCCTTAGTAACCATAAGTTTTTTCTCTACATCTGTGACTCTATTTTTTCTTTGCAAATAAGTTCATCTCTACTGTTTTTCTAGATTCCAGGTATAAGTGATATTAAATGATATTTGTTTTTCTCTTTCTGACTTCACTCTGTTTGACAGTTTCTAGGTCCATCCACGTCTCTGCATATGGCACTGTTTCATTCCTTTTTATGGCTGAGTAATATTCCATTGTATATATGCACCACATCTTTTTTATCCATTCCTCTGTCGATGGACATTTAGGTTGTTTCCATGTCCTGGCTATCATAAATAGTGCTGCAATGAACATTGGGGTGAATGCATCCTTTCGAATTATAGTTTTCTCTGGATATATACCTAGGAATGGGATTGTTAGGTCATATAGTAGCTCTACTTTTAGTTTTTTAAAGAACCTTCATACTGTTCTCCATAGTGGCTATAGCAATTTACATTCCCACCAACAGTGTAGGAGGGTTCCCCTTTCTCCACACCTTCTCCAACATTTATTGTTTGTAGACTTTTTGATGATGGCTATTCCGACTGGTGTGAAATGATACCTCATTGCAGTTTTGATTTGCATTTCTCTGATAATTAGTGATGTTGAACACTTTTTCGTGTGCTTTTTGGCCACCTCTATGCCTTCTTTGGAGAAATGTCTATTTAGATCTTCTGCCCATTTTTTGATTGGGTTGTTTAGTTTTTCAGTTTTTTTTGTTTTTTTTCTTTTTTTTTTATTGAGCTGCATGAGCAGTTGGTATATTTTGGAGAGTAATCCCTTGTCAGTTGCTTCATTTGCAAATATTTTCTCCCATTCTGAAGGTTGTCTTTTCGTTTTGTTTATGGTTTCCTTTGCTGTGCAAAAGGTTTTAAGTGTAATTAGGCCCCATTTGTTTATTTTTGTTTTTATTTTCATTACTCTAGGTGGTGGATTGAAAAATATCTTGCTGTGATTTATGTCAGAGAATGTTCTGCCTACATTTTCCTCCAAGAGTTTTATAGTATCCAGACTTAGGTCCTTAATCCATTTTGAGTTTATTTTTGTGTATGGTGTTAGGGAGTGTTCTAATTTCATTCTTTTACATGTAGCTGTCCAGTTGTCCCAGTCCCAGTTATTGAAGAGACTGTCTTTTCTCCATTGTATATTCTTGCCTCTTTTGTCATAGATTAGGTGGCCATAAGTGCATGGGTTTTTCTCTGGACTTTCTATCCTGTTCCATTGATCTATATTTCTTTTTTTGTGCCAGTACCATACTGTTTTGATTACTGTGACTTTGTAGTATAATGACTATTTGTATTTTTTTAAATAAATTTATTTATTTATTTATTATTTTGGCTGCATTTGGTCCTCGTTGCTGTGTGCAGGCTTTCTCTAGTTGCAGCGAGTGGGGGCTACTCTTCATTACAGTGTGCAGGCTTCTCATTGTGGTCGTTTCTCTTGTTGCGGAGCACGGGCTCTAGGCATGCAGACTTCAGTAGTTGTGGCATGTGGGCTCAGTGGTCGTGGCTTGCGGGCTCTGGAGCGCAGGCTCAGTAGTTGCGGCACACGGGCTTAACTGCTCCATGGCGTGTGGGATCTTCTCAGACCAGGGATCGAACCTGTGTCCCCTGCATCGGGAGGCAGATTCTTAACCACTGCATCACCAGGGAAGTCCCTATTTGTCTTTCTTTCTACCGACTTCTTGTCCTCCTTTCGACCTATCTGTCTCCCCACTCACCCACTCCTTCCTTCTGCCTGTCTCACACTTGTCCCTCTAGGCATACTTATCCTTCTACCCTCTTTCCTGTCTCTCTTGTCCTACCTAATTGTCACTGGAACTGGATGTCTCCTGCCCCAAAATAGAGTGTGTTTCCAGTATCTTTCAGAACATACTCCAAGCAGGAGAATATAGAGAAGAGCCATTCTACTCACTAGGCCCAAGACCAGTCTAATTCCGGCCGGAGGGCTTTCTCTATCTTAAATCCTTTTTAGATGGCTTTATTATTTCTAATTCCTTGGGTGTGTGTTCTTCATTTGTTGAGTTGCTGTTTCATGGTATTTGTCTTCTTCAGATATACGGTGACTCTAAGTTGAGCTCACATCTCCTGAGGGAGAATCCTCTCTTGAACATCCTGAGTTGTGACAGCTTCAGCAGGGTGCCCTTAAGACAAGCTTGGCCTCATCATGGAGGCATCAAACGCAGTCTTGAGGCATTTGAGGCTTGACAGCTCCATCAAGCTTACTGCTTTCATATTTTAGAGATGCTTTTCCATTCCAAGTTAATGACATATCCTTTTTGTTTTCAAGAAGGGCTTTATATTTATTGTTTTAAAAATATCTTTTCTATCATATGTATGGTTTTTGGTGAGAAAGGGGGATTTCAGTTTGGGCTCAGCCTACCATCTTGAAAACAGAATTCGTGTTTCTTTTGTCTGAAGATCTATGGGGCTGCTGGCTTGGTTCAGGGACACACCTGGTTTCTAGTCATTACAAAGTCAACAGATCTCATTCAGCTGGGAACCCCCAGAACCACCTCATGCCTACTAGATAGGAACCAAAGAGGCAAACCCAGCTGCAACCTACATCTCTCAGGATCCTTGGGAAAAGTGGCCTCAGAGGCCAATCCATGTCACCTAAAATCATTGACCTTAGAGTTCAGCCAGACGACAGGGTAGTTGCTCCATCCTTGACATACAGCTTTGGGACCATCCATGAGACCTCTTTAGGGGCTGATGAGCCAAAGGACAGAGTTCCATCCAATATGTCATCCCAACCCAATCAAACCCTCTATAATCTTTGCCACATCACTCCCCTGGAGTGTGAAGATGTTAGCTTCCCTTAGCTCGGTTTTCTAGTGCCAAAGAAACTGTCTTCAGCTCCTGGGTCCCAATGCTGGATACATTCTATGTCTTGACAGGGGTCTTGTCTGCTGTGCCCTTCCATCTCTCCCCCAGGTGAAATGAAATCCCTCACACTTCACAAACCCCTGCCAAGCTTGCAAAAGAGCAAAATTTCCCAGTAGGAGAATCAGAGAAGAAGGGCAGGAAGGCTTCAGAGAGTTGCAAAGAAGGGAATAGACACTTTCCTCTCTTAATTCATGTCCCTACAGATGTCCCTCACACCTGAGCTGTGCTGGCTCCCATCCCTCAGACCCACCTCCTCACTAGGACTGAGGTCAGGCCGCTCATCCTGGGAATGGGTTGATGCAACCTTGGTAACCAGACTTGAACCCTCCATTCTCCCCTAGAACGTGCTAGAGCTGAGCGTCTGTGATGATGACACGGTGACACCAGATGACCATTTATTGACAGTTCTCTATGACCTCACCAAGCTCTGCTTCCGAGAGAAAACCCACGTGAAGTTCCCACTCAACACAGAGGTGAGTGCAGGTGCCCCAGCCCTCAGCCTCCTGCTTCACAAGGGGCAGCTGGTTATTCCTATGATGCTGTTCTATGGGATCCTCTCTCTGTAGCCAGGTCAGGAGAAGATAGCACTGCTGTTCAAATCCCAGCGCTTTGGCTTACTATCAATAGCTCTGTGACCCTGCAGAAATTGATTAATTCCTCTGAGTTCTGTTACCTCGTCCATACAATAGTGACAGTAAGACCTACCACACAGGGTCACTGTGAGGCTTAAATGAGAATACATAATTAAGGCATCTAGCACTGTTCACAGTACAAAATGGAGACAGAATAAGTGTTGATTCCCTTTCTTTCCTCAGAGTCCTGCTTCTGGGATGGTCCCAGGGGACAGAGGACAGATAAGGAGTGCAAATATGCAAATCAGAGAAAGTCAGAGCTGAAAAGGCCCAGGATGTTATCAATTCATTCAACAAGTATTTGAATGCCCTATGGGCCAGGCACTGTTCCATGCACTGGCGACACCTCAGGGACAAGCATCCCTGCCCTCACCTGGCTTATACTCTGTGGGGAAATTAAGGTCCAGTGAGGGAGGTCATGACTTCCTGAAGTTACACAGCAAGAGATGCAAAGCAGTAGCTGAAGGAAGGGGCTCCTAGCCTTCAGAGTTGAGCTTGCTGGGGGCAATATCTCCCTTGTCCCAAGCCCTGAGCCCCTTGGAGAAGAAGGGGAGCAATGGAAGCTGGAGGGAGAGGATGAAAGGAAAATGTTCTGGGGCAGAGAGATTTACCTGCTGGGTCTAGGGGTCAGCTCCACACCCTGACCCTGCCCTGGGTGGTCAGTGATGTTCCTGATATCAAAGACTTGGGGACAGAGGGAGGCAGAGGGGACAAAAAGAGCCAGGAGCAGCTGCCCCCATGCCAAGACAGCAGGACAGCCGTGTGCGAAGGACAGGGTCAGGTCCACAGGGTCTCCTGGGATGGCACAGGATCCTGGTCTGCAGAGAGGCGTAGACACAGCTCACAACTGCAGTCTCTTCCTCCCTCTGCAGGGCATGGAGGAGCTGGAGGTGGAGTTCCTGCTGGAGGAGAGGTGAGTAGGACCCAACCCCCCAGGATTCCACCAAGGTCCTGACCCCAAAGCAGCTTCTGGGCACAGGCATTGTACAGCTGGGTCCTCCTTTCTGCAGTTCCCCACCCCCGCTTCTACTCCCACCCTTGACGCTCCTCACTGTGCATCAGAATCACTTGGGAACTTCTAAATCCCATAGGTGCCTGGGCCCCACCCCTTCTCATCCAGGTCTACTGATGTCAGTATTGCTTTAAAGAGCTAGTACTCTGGCCAAATCACCTGCCTCAGCTCCCCAGCATTTCTGAGAGTGGCCTCTGGGAAGACTTCCTGCCACCATGGGGATGGGGCCTTCTTGAGGCCACGCTAAGAAAGAGGTCAGGACCAAGGCGTCTCCTCCTGGACCCAGGACTGTTAGAACAAACTCCCCCAAACCTGGCCTGAAGCAGAGGCCATGCCCCTCTGCAGTCATCTCTGGAACCAAGTCAAGGGGAGGCTCAGGACAGAGATGTGGGGTTATTTTTCATCATGTCCAATTAAGATAAAGGTCCAGGGTCCTGGAGGTATGACTGTGCCGTGGACTCAAGTGGAATTGGGTCACAGAGCTGGAGTGTGGGAAGAAGAGGACACAGAGAGAGAAAGGAGAGGGAAGGGCGGTGAGGGAGGGGAGTAGGGTTCCTGCCGGGAGGGGACAAGCCTGCCCTGGGGCGGCAGTGTGCCTTGTGATTGGGCAACCAGCTTCTTAACCCTGGCAGAACTGAGTCCCCTGGACTTATTAACAGCCCAGGGACAGGGGGACAATGAGAGGCAGGAACAAGAACAAGAGGGCTTGTCAAATTCCACCCGGAGAATCCTCTGCATAGGGGGTCTTGGAACTATTTGAGGTGCCTCATTAAAATCAACTTAAATTAAAATTTAAATTAAATTTGACAAATTAAAATCAACTTTATTTGTTTCATATTAAAGAAAATCTGGGCTCTCTCCTTCAGTTCTTGGTTTGACAGGACTTTTAGGGGGAAAAACATTCCTTGGGTGAATTAGAAAGTGGCTTACAAAATGAAATACGTCAGCATTGGTAGTCAGAGTTGATAGGGAAACACAGTCATCTTGGGCTTAATTTTGACAAGGGGGGCTGTGGACTCCCCTAGGCGAATTGTAACCTTGGAGGCTTTCTCAGCTTTGTAACACAAGGACATTTCACACTCACCAGGCCCCTCTCTAGCTGGGTCAAAACTATTCGTTAAATGCACAAATTAAATAGGATGAGTCCGTTTTGCTACCAGAACTGTTTACATTTGCTCGAGATGGTGGGCTCTGGCCTTTTCTTGCAACCTGTTTATCCTCGTAACTCCATGCAGTTGCATCTGGTTGGACATAAAGAACAGCTATCCTTTAAGGAAGAAAAAGAAAAGAAACTCTTCTACTCCCTCTAACTTATAAATCTTTTTTTTTTCTGGACATTCTATTTAAAATGTATGCCAGTTTTCTCCTTGACAATCTGCAGATCTAAGGTTTCTTAAGCCAATATTTTTCACAAGGATTAAGAAGGCTCTGCTATCTTCTTATTGACCCTACGTAGGCTGTTTGTCAGCCTTGTGAGAAATCAGTCAAGAATGATATGACTTAGAGAATAGACTTGTGGTTGCCAAGGGGAAGAGGGGGTAGAGGAGGGTTGGATTGGGAATTTGGAATTAGCAGGTGCAAACTATTGTATATAGGATGGATAAACAACAAGGTCCTACTGTACAGCGCAGGGAACTATATTCAATATCCTGTGATAAACCGTAATGGAAAAGAACAGGAAAGAGAATGTATATAACTGAGTCACTTTGCTGCACAGAAGAAATTAACACAATGTTGTAAATCAACTATACTTCAATAAAATAAATTTTTAGAAAGAACGATATGACTGACCAGGAGTTCTCATTTTGTTTTTCAGCCCCTCTCCACCTGAGAGTCTCATCACGAATGGCGTGCTGGTGGTAACTGTCCTTCCAGGCTCCTGTGGCTCCAGAGGCCACCTGTGGCTGCTGCTCTTGGGAACAGAACTGTGGGAGGGAAAACCAGGCCCAACTTGGGCCCTTGTCCCAGAGCCTGCTAGGAGTCAGACTAACTGAAGCCAGACAAAGGGGCTGCGGGCAGTGGTGGGGGCAGCAGCTGGGCTCCTGCTCCTGGGGAGGAAACACCTGGACCAGCATCCCATCTCCCAAAACAATGACCTCAGCAATCTCCCTAATAAAGCACCCACTCTCAGAATCAGTCTCGTCCCATTTTCCCCCAACTCCAATCTCTCTATAAGCACAAGTTCAGAATTAAAAAGATTTTCATAATTAGGCTGTTGGTACAGCGATTTCAATTAGATGCATCTAAAGCCTCAGGATTCAAGGAAATCTCTCCCCCGAAAATCAGTCTTTGGGTGTTTGTGGCCTGGTAGAGCATCCCCGGAAGCTTGTGATCAAAATGACCTCCCCTTCCTTTGTTTCAGTCTCGACAAATGTCCTGCCTGGAGGTTCATGCAGAATCCAGGAGACAGAAGAATAGGAAAAGTGAGCCCTTTGACTACCTCTGCCTGCTGGGGGGTGGGGAGGACAGTGCCACTTCCCAACCCTGTCAACACTAGAGTTGGCTGCTCCATGGCTGCCCTGGGCTCCATGGGGAACGCATTTTATAGCTGGCAGGGACCTAAGAGATCCGCAAATACGCGACTCTCCTTCTCACCACTCCACCCCATCCCCCCCATGCAAGGCTTCCAGCCCTGTCTGCAGAGAGGAGAGCGGCACAGCCCAACTGGCATGGGGGAGGGGGAAGGAAGAGGTTCTGCCCCCAAACTGGCAGCAAGGAGAGGGCCTGCTTTCAGTGCAGTGGGAAGGTAACTTCACCTTGTGGAGGAGCAGAACCTAGGAGGACTAGTCCAGAAAACTCAGCCTCTCAGACCTCACACACACACACACACACAAAAGCCTTGTAAAAACGCAGATTCCTGGGCCCCGCCTGGCCCTTCAGAATGAGACTCTCTGGGGCATTTTAACCAATGCCCTCGGTAATTCTAAACCCCTGTCCTGGGTGCCTCCCCTAGGCCTTTTATTGGGCCGAGTTGGGGTGGGAAGTGGGAGGCTTCCCAGGGGTCTCAGCCCTCTTGTCCTCTCTTCCAGTGAAGGACCTCCTGGTGACAGTAACAGAGTCCTTCGAGCACACCCAGCACATCTCATGCTGCCTGGAGCCCTGCGGCCCAAACCCTGCCTGCTTCCACTACCCCAAGTACTTCCAGCCCCAGATCCACGTGGAGGTGCCCAAGAGCCAGTGGAGCTCTGTGGTAGGAGGCTGCGGCAGTAGGGGGTTAGGGGCTGGTTCAGACTCGAGTTGGGAGGAGCCCCTCCCCTCACGAAACCGCCCATCCTTCCAGCTTTGCCGCTGCAATGCGTGCAAGAACGACCCTGTGTGCCAGTCCCTGGATTGCCTCCCTGACGGCCAGGCGGTGACCCTGCCTGTGGTGAGGGCCTGGGTCTGGGAGGGGGTCCCTGAGCAGCGTAGCCTGGAGTGCCTGTGGAAGGGAGACGGGGAGAGTCTGGGGGTCTCTCAGGCAGGGTACAGGAGTCTTGGGGGAAAGAAGACTGCTGAGCTGCATTGTGGAGCCAAAGACAGGGTGCGGAAGCTGAGCCAGGTTGGGGGCGAGAGACGTCCAGAAGAGAACCTGTGTGCGCATGCGCGGGCGGGGCGCTGCATGCGCATGCGCTAAGTCAAGCGTCCCAGGGTGGGGGCGGGCACGGTGTGGTGAGTCTCCACTTATTTGGTTGGGACCACTTGGCTCTGAGGTGTCATCCCTGACAAACTTTTCATCTTTCAATTCCCAGAACAAGAATTGTGAATTACACATGAAGTCTACACCCTGGTAAAGTGCCCTCTTTCGGTCTGTCCCTCTGACTTATTTATCTTTAGGGACTTAAAGTGGTATCTTGTTGTGGTGTTGATTTGCATTTCCCTGACGGCCAGGGATGTTGAGCATCTTTTCACAGGCTTATGGGCCATTTGTATATCTTCTTCGGAGAAGTATCTATTCAAATCCTTTACCCATTTTTAAAGTGGGTGACTTGCCTTTTATTGTTAACTTGTAAAAGTTCTTTGTATATTCTAGATACAAGCCCCTTGTCAGATATATGATTTCTAAATATTTTTCCTGTTTTGGAGATTATCTTTCACATTCTTAATGGTGTTCTTTGAAGCACAGAAGTTTTCAATTTTGGTGAACTTCAGTGTATGTATATTTTTTTCTTTTGTCACTTGTGCTTCTGGTGACATATTTAAAAAACCATTGCCTAATCCAAGGTCATGAAGATTTACTCCCATGTTTTCTTTTAAGAGTTTTATAGTTTTAGCTCTCAATTTGGGTCTATGATCAATTTTGAGTTAATTTGTATATACAGTGTGAAATAGGGGTCCAACTTCATTCTTTTGCATGTGGATATCCAGTTGTCACAGCATCATTTGGTGAAAAGACTGTTCTTTCCCCCTTTGAATTGTCCTGGCACCCTTGTTGAAAATCAAGTGACTGTAGTTTCCATTTACAATTTGATAGCTGTTTGTCCTTGGTCAAGTTATTAAGCCTCTCTAAATCTCAGTTTTTCTCACCTGTAAATTAGAGCAATACCAGGAGTACTGTCTATCATTGGGTTGCTTTGAGGATCCAGTGAGATAACACATGTGAAGAAATCAGTGATCTGCGAAGTGGGAAACTCAGAAAATATCAACAAATGTTATTATTATTGCTGTTTTATTATTCATTCCTTGTTGAGGCCAAGGGAAGATTTCCTCACAGCTGTGTCTGCAGGCCTATACCAGACATGAAGGAAACATAATGAGAGAGCTCCCAGGCTCTACCTTCAAGGAGATGTGACCTTTATAGTTACCAGGGTCACTAAGACTCAGGCTGGAAATTGTCAAGGTCCATTCTCCTGGAGTCACTGGGGAGGAGGGCCTTGGAGGATGCAAGGGATGTTGATGGGCAGAGGGAGGAGGCTCAGAACCCAGACTACTCCTGGGCTCTGAGAGCCGATGGACCCTTCCAGGAAGTAGCAGGAGGTGAGGTTGGACAGATCAGGTGGGGGCTTGGATGCCAGGCCAGAAGCCTGGACTTGCTCACATCAGGGATGTGATAAAAAGAGGGCAAGTGTTGGGCATGCTCTTCCTGCCCCACCCACCTTGCAGACCTGTGGGGGTGACAGGGTGAGATCAGGGATGTGAAGGGTTTTTGTCACACAGGATGATTTTTACTCTGGGAGCAGGAAAAGCTCACCAAGGAATATGAGCTCCATGAGAACAGGACCTTGTTTATCCAGCTCAGAAGAGCCCTACTGTAGAGCTTTATTCAGAGGGACTGGCCAAAATGATCTCAGGGCCTCTTGCCACCCATGTCTGGCCTTGGGCTCTAGAAGGTGCCTGGGGGAAGGCTTTCAAGACTTTCCAGATCTCGTTGAAGAGGCAGAGGGTTCAGCGAGTCCCTAATTGTGTTGAGTACCTGCTTACGGTCCACCAGCTAAGGCTTTGGGGCTTTACATTTGTTATCTCATTAAGTGCTGAAGACAGTGCCAGGAGTTAAGCACGATTAGCCCCATTTTACAGATGAGAAAGCAGGGGCCCAAGGTCACAAAGGTGATTCCTGGCAGAACCAGGCTTCAAGCCTAGGTCCAACTGACCCTAAAGCCATGCCTTCTCCATGGAGGTGGAGTCTACAGACCTGCTAAGCCAAGCTCCTCTGTCCCCACAGCTCCGAGGCACTGGACGTGCGGCTAGGCTTCAGCCTGTGCCAGGCAGAGCTGGAGTTCCTGCAGAAGCGGAGGGTGGTGGTGGCTGAGGCGCTGAAGCAGGTGTTGCAGCTGGAGGAGGACCTGCAGGCAGACGAGGTGGGTGAGCAGAGGTCCGCTCAGAGCCAGGCTTTTCCTTCGAACACTGTGCCTGCCAGCTGCCCCCTGCAGTCCCTCCCTTGCCCCAGGGCAGCCTCAGCACTGCCTTTCCTGGTGGCCCTTACTGCTGAGGTTCCAGGTGCCCAGGTGAGGGCTGTGCTGGATGTGATTCAGTTGTGTGTTCGCAAGGGGCAGGAAGGGCAGAGTAGAGAGAAAGGAAGGAGCCCCAGCTGCTGCTCCCCGTGCGCTAACAGATCCTGAGATGATGAATGATGTCTTACCTACACGGGACAATGTGGCATCCTTTCCCCAGCCAGGAAAACACTGGAAGCTCCACCACCACCCGCATTCTACACACCTCCACCCAAAAGGCCCTGGGCCTTTCATTCCTCAATTCTCCCTTCCCATAAATGTATGCGCACATGCGCGCGCGCGCGCGCACACACACACACACACACACACACACACACACACACACACACACAGCAGTGGGGGGCTGGAGAGAGGCAGCTTCCTCACGCAGGGCCAGCTTCTGCACACAGGGTAGATGATGGTACCTTTGCCAGAGCCCTCTGTCACCTTCCTGGTAGGGGCTGAGGCTCACACTCCCCTGAGCAGTAGGTCAGCCCTCGGAGAGCCCGCACTTCAGAGGCCAACCACAGGTGTAGACAGAGACCTCGTCCCTAAAGGAGGGCTGTGATGGGGCTTTGGCCGACAGTACATCTTACAGTCCCCACTCAGATGAAAACTGAGTGAGTCTTGGCAAAGACTCCACGCCTCGCTCTCCCATCTATAGGGAAACACACTGAGGACATCTTAAACCTAAGTAAACCCAGAGGTGACAACTGTGCTCCTTCTCACATCAAAAATCCATTTACCCCTGCTTTTACACATATGGTCTATAGGGACCACATACCATGTGCCAGGCCTGAGCCTGACATCAAATCCCTCTACAGCAGGTGCTGATCTGCAGCCATTAGGGAATCACACGCTAGCTGGGCTCTTGAGCGAGCCACCCAGCTCCCTGGCCCCAGTTCATAATCTGTTAACTGAGAGCTAGATTAATCGTGCCAAGAGCCCTTCCAGCCACGGCCTTCTAATTTACCAAGCCCGACACCGACCACTGGGTTTGGAACTAAGGTCCAGTTCTAGACCTACCAGGCGGCTTGACACTGTGAAAGGCAGTTTTCAGGTCACTCAGTCCCCACTCTCTGCTCTCTGTCGCCAGCTCTTCCTCTTCCACTGTTATTTCTAAGCTCCTGTCTCTCCAAGTCTTCCCCTACCCAGCATTGCCCCAGCAGTCTGCCTCCATGTGCCCCCAGGTCCCACTGATATCCATCATGGCCACTGGGGGTGGGACAAGATCCATGACTGCCATGTATGGCCACCTGCTGGGGCTGCAGAAGCTGAACATCCTGAACTGTGCCAGCTACATCACTGGCCTGTCAGGGGCCACCTGGTAAGGAGCGGGGGGCCACTGTCTGGTGAAGCCCAGAGCGAGCAGCCAACAGCCTGGCCGGCAGGCGGGGGTGGGGTCTCTGGTAAAGCTCATCCGTCCCAAGTTAGAGTGACTCGTGACACCTGGGCAGCTCTACCCCTCACAACTGTGTGACCTTGGGAATGCAGTTGAACTTCTCTGAGTCTCATTTTCTGTATCTGTAAAGTGGGGATAGTAATAGCCCTGACCTCATGGGGTTGTTGTGAGATGCTCTCCCAGTACTGGGTACACCAGGGACACGTGTTGGTCATGACTCCATTACTATGGCAGGGTCCCAGGAGCATGGCAGCCAGTTATGAGTGAACCACTGGTGCCACTGGTGCATCTCCCCAGCAGCTGCCCTCTCTCAGACTGTGCCAGGTCTCCTGGGGTGGGTGGAGCTGGCCCGCTGCTCTGGCTGCCACGTTCCAGCCCACCCCCAGCCCTGCGTGCTCCCTCTGCCCTGCAGGCATCCTCGGGCTCCCATCCTCACTCTTGCTGGTGAGCAGGGAGAGTGAGCCCTTAGCTCCCCCGACAGGTGAGGCCAGCATGAGGCCGGCTTCTCCACAGGAGCCACGGCACCTGGGATTCACGATGCCGGTGGCGGCCCACAAAGATGTTGTAATTTCTTTTAAGTTCTTTAAAAGAAACCTAGTTTGAAGAAAGTGTTTTAATATATAGTAATATATCACTATATTTGTCTTTATACAACAGTCATAGAAGATAATTTTTAATATTTTTATGGTGGAAGGGGCCCACCAAAGTCATAATGCAGCCCTGGTCTAGGGTGACCCAGGCCTTGTGACTACACACATCCTCTCAGCCAGGGCTGCATCTTATTCTGTGTTTAACTAGTGGGCCTCAGAGCCCTCAACGTCCCAAGCTGTGTCCCTCATCCTGGAGGGGCTCTGGATAACTTTCATTTGAGGGGGTGGATGTGAGGAAAACCAAGGGTTCCTGGTGCACCAGAGGCCCCGAGGCTTCAGCCCAGGTGGGACAGAAGGATAGCTGACGATTACGGGCATTGCCTCTGCACCGAGCACTGGGGTGACTGCTTCCAATGGACTATCTCATTTCTTCTTCACAAGAAGACTATGAGGAAGATGTTGTCATTGTGCTCATTTTACAGCTGGAGAAAGAAAGGAAATTTCCCAGGGTCACTCAGCTAATGAGCGGTAGAGCTGGGATTTCAACCCAGGCTGTCTGAGTCCAGGGCCCACATTCTTTTTTTTGGGGGGGGAGGGGACCCACATTCTTAATCTCACCGATAAACCGCTGCCCATGGGAAGTAGGTTAAGGAGAGAAACTTGCTTGCACCAGGGTAGAGGGGCACCTGCATCCTCCTGGCCTACCTCTGGGCCAGGCAGGAAACTGGGAGGAACTCAGACCCAGCTGGGGTGGGGGTAGGGTGTCTCCTGGCCTGGGAAAGCACTGGGAAGGAATTTTGTAAAATCAAAATCAATCATTTGTAATGTTTTTTTAAAGCTTTTTAAAGGTATGAAAGTAACAGCGTGAACCTTACGGAGAGCAGGGTACTTTTTGTTGAAGAAATCTCCTGAAGGGAGAGGCCGCTGCTCAGACAGCTGTGCAGCTGTAGACCAGGTCCACTGTGGGGAGGGGGATTCCTGGGTGCTGTCCTGACCTAGACTGAGAAAAGCCGGGTTCAGGCCAAGCAGAGGCAGACAGAGGCAAAGACCCAGGGCTAGGGGGATACCTATCTTTGTTTTACTCCTCCCCTCTGCCCACATAGAAGTTAAGAAGAGGAAGGGGAAGTAAGTCTTAGCTGGCATCACAATTATGGGAATTAATGTGGCAGAGTAGGAAGAGTCCAGGATTTGGAATCAGCAAAGCCTGGGGTCAAATGCTGGCCCCAGCACTTACTTCGTGCCCGGTACTGTCCTCGTCATTTTACATTGACTCATGTCATCTTCACAATAACGCTGTGAGGCAGGTACAGTTATCACCCTTCTCCCCAGTCCACAGATGGGAAAACTGAGGTGAGGAGCAGTTAGGTACCTTGCCCAGATCCCATGGCTGGTGAGTGGCAGAGTCTGATTTTGAACCCAGGAAGATCTGGGTCCAGAATCTTCACTGTTAAGCACTGCGCTCCACGTGGCACACGGCAGGCAGTCAAGAAATGGCAGCAATCGTGACTTTGAGTAAGAATGTTCTCCCCTCCCCGACCGGGCCCCACCCCATTTCCTCCAGGCTCCTCTCCTGGCAGGTGAGGGTTTCCCATGACCTACCCACCTCCTTTCCTGCCAGGCTCCAGGGTCGATCTGACCAGGGCTGGCTCAGCTCTCTCAGCCACACCTGTCTCTCTCCAGGACCATGGCTACCTTGTACCGTGACCCTGACTGGTCCTCCAAAAACCTGGAGCTTGCCATCCTCGAGGCGCGGAGGCACGTAGTCAAGGACAAGATGCCCGCTCTGTTCCCAGATCAGCTCCTCAAATTCCGGGAGGAGCTGCAGCAGCGCAGGCAGGAAGGCTACAAAGTCACCTTCACAGACTTCTGGGGTCTGCTAGTCGAGGCCTGTCTGGGGGACGAGGTAGGTGCTCAGCTTCCCCTGGGCCCCAACCCGCCCGGGGATGATGCCCAGCCCTCCGCCTTCACTGGGGCACCGGGAGGTACATCACAGCAGGAGGGAGTTAGGTTAGACCTGCAGATGCACCCTTGGGCCTTAAGAAGCATGAGGCATCAGAACGCATGATGCAGGCAGATGGTGGGATTGTCTTCCCGAGTCCCTTTGGAGTATGACTGAAACCCTCACATCAGGGGTGACTTAGGTGCAACCTTTCCGAGAGGCAGCGGGCCCTCTGAGAACCTGTGAGAGAAAATGGGGAGGGAGCCATCAGAGTGTGATGTAAGCCTGACCCCAAGTGGAGGAGAGAGGGAAGGAAAGGCCAGGTGGAAGCATCCTAGCGCACTGTGCGGTCTGAAAGGTCAGCACAGTGACCCTTGCAGAGTTCCCCAGCCAAGTTGGCCATCAGAGGAGTCTGGCACCGCCCCCTCCCCTCCACCACAGTGGGCCTGCCTCAGGATCCCTGCCACGCTCAGTCATGGGCTGGGACCAGCCCAGTGGGAAGTGTGGCCTTAGAACAAACTCGGCCCTGGATTTCAGAGCATGGTAGCTGGGCCATCAGCCAATTACACTCCTGTAGTTGGAGGTCTGCTGGGCCCCTTCTCATGGCCACCACACGGAGGATGAGCCCAGTGAGGTTCCTTCCAGCTCTGATATCCAATGATCTGAGCCGTGTGTGCCCAAGAAGAGAAGCAGCCTGTGTTGGGACCCAGCTGCTGTGAGAGCCATGTGGGCCGTGGCAGGGCAGTGGGATCCCCATGGGATGCTGCCATCCCGGACATCAGGGTGAGCTCAGCTAACACCTGGACCCTTCCGACTGCCCAGGCCCCAGGGTGGAACCAAATTTGGCTGTTGCTTGACCCCAGAGTAGGGCTTCCCATCTAATTTCTATCCAGGCCTATGGCTGTCTGCCCCACTCCCAAAGGTGTCTGAAGTGTTCTGAATTCAAATCAGAACTTACCAGAAGGAAGAGGGACAGCAAATTCTTTTCTAGTAGATCCCCTCTTCCAGAAAACACAGACAATTTGAGCAACCAAGGATGGACCAAACCTCATCTTCAACGTTCATTCATTCCCTCATTCATTCTTTCAACAAAATTAAGTACCTCCTGCATGCCAGGAACTGTGCTAGACAGTGGGGCACTCACAGCCTTTGATGGACCCCTGCCCTTTCTGATAACCCACTGTCTACTCTTTCCACGTGACGGAGCAGGGCAGGCAGAGGTTGAGGGTGCTGGCTTTTGGATTCAGGCAGGACGGGATTTGAATTCTGGCCCTGCTCTGTGCTATTCCTTAAATGGGAATTTCATCAACCGTTCCGTCAACAGTTAATATTTCTTAGAGTAGTTAGTGCTCCACGTGGTGGGGAGGAAAGCTCCAAGGCTTTTAACATTAGAGTCTGAGCATTGCCCAGGGTTTGGTGTAGGAAGGAGCCTAGGTTCCTGGGAAAGCAAGCCTAGGATTGATGGAAGGTGGCCTCTGCTCTTCCACTCTGGCCAAGGCAGGAGCTCCTTTGCCTCAGGCCCCCTTGATAATGAGTGTGGATTGGGCTCTTCCCCGAGTCTGCAACTTCCTCTCCTTCCATGACGGTCATTGCTGCGGTGCCCATATCCCTGGGCCCAGTTCTGACAGGCATCCTGTTGGCCTTGCAAGGGAGGCCTAAGAGTTGTTTGACCCACACATGTTTACCATCCCACACAGGTTCTGTGCCTTTACACACTCGCGCAACCATGGATGTCACCCACCAGGCAGCTGCTTGGCCTGGGGTCAGAGCCTGGGCCTCTAAAGCCTCCACTGGCCTGGTCTACACTGGCTGATTCACTTTGGGAGGTGGCCTGTGGTCCAGGCTGATCTGCAGGACTCCCACTTTGATTACACCACTTAGTGCTCTGGGGGCTTAGAGGGAATTTGACTGCCATCCGGTGCCAAGTTTCCAAATCTTTTGTTTAAAAAGAATCTTTTTTTGCCTCCCAAATGAGTTTATGAGAGAGCCCAACATGCAAAGCAGATTTTTTAAAAATGGAGCTGCTCTGGTTTGAGTAGGGTGGAAGATGATGAAGAGGGGGCAGTGGTGGCCTCCTCCACCCCGGCCTTTTCATTCTCTGGTCCCTGAGACTCGAGGAGAACCCCAGGACTCTGAAGGACAGCTCTAAACTGCAGATCCAGTCCCACCCTCTCCATGTGTCTGGGGTGATGAACGGCCCAAGGATGCGTGAACATTTTCTGGGTACATTTTAAGAGCAGCTTTGACTGGTGTCAGGTGAGACCTCCAGAGCAGCCTGGTGGGCTCAGGAGCCTGGTGGGCTACCAGAGGTCCAGACTGTCCTCTTATTCTGCACCGCTTCCTGGCTGCTTGTCTGCTCCTTCTCCTTAACCATTATTTTTCCACACAGAGATATGAATGCAAACTGTCAGATCAGAGTGCTGCTTTGTGTCAGGGCCAGAACCCCCTGCCCATCTACCTCACCATCAATGTAAAGGATGACGTAAGCAACCAGGATTTCAGAGGTAACACTGGTGGCTAGCAATTTCCCCGGGGCGGGGTGGGTCCCTTCTCAGCAGGCAAAGGCACTCAGTACCCCAGCGCACACATCCCGCCACCATACCTTTGCCAGCCTCCACACCAAGAATGTGCTGACAGCCGAAGAAATCCACTTGGCTACCCCCTTCTGCCCAGACGCGTGTAGCTGGTGGGCAGCAGGGGTCCTATGGCTCCCCTGAGCAGAGATTTGATGGGATAGAGGAAATAAAGGTCGTGAAGGGAGAGAGTCCTAGGCGTTTCTTAAGCTGCCAGGATGGAGGGACTCTAGAGACCTGCCCTGCTTCGGGGTCCGGTTTTGGTCCGGGTTTATGAGGCGCAAACGAGCCTGTGCAGCTTGCCACACTGAGTCTTGCCGGGCCAGCAGAAGCCGGTCACGGGCGCCCCCCTGTGCCCTGCGGGGGAACTGCGGCCTCCCCACCCCAGGCTCCTCGCGGCCGGGGAGACGGCGCGAGCTGGGAGAAGGGTGGGCGGGGCCGCCCCGGCCTGAGACTGACACCCTGCCCTGCTGCTTCGTGTGCAGAGTGGTTCGAGTTCTCCCCCTACGAGGTGGGCCTGCAGAAGTATGGAGCCTTCATTCCCACCGAGCTCTTCGGCTCCGAGTTCTTCATGGGGCGGCTGATGAGGAGGATCCCAGAGTCGCGGATGTGCTACATGCTAGGTGACTCCTGGCTGGGGGCGGCCCTTGGGAACCCCGCCCCGTGCGGAACAGGCTCCAAGTTTGATTAGAGGAATGACGAGGAGACACGGTCTGTTCCCCCAGGATCATGTGCCAGGTGCTGGTGCTGGTTTGGGTTATCCCTTGGGCATATGACCCTCCTGGCATTTGTCAGCATACCCTCATTCCAGGAGACGCTCCGGAGCCTCCCAGCCTCCCAGCCTGCCCTGATCTCCCTGTGACCCTGTGGGCCCAGAAGGACCTGACAGGGGCTCCTGGGTCACTGGGGAACAAAGGGGACTCTCCCAATGTCCTGGTCTCCAGTCGTCTCCCTGGTGTCCGTTCAGAACCAGACTGGGAGTTGCAGGCTGAGATGGAAGCTTCTGGAACTTCTACCCCCTTCCCCCTGGTTCCAGGAAGCAACATGCCTGTTTCCGGGGCTTGAACCAGCCCCTGGGATCCAAGGGGCCAGAGGGGACCTCAGGGTGAAGACAGAGTGTCTGGGGAAGCCTGGCCCAGCTCCCAACACTATGTTCCCTGGTCCTCCAGAAGCCAGGCCCACTGAGTGCAGGGGCCTGACTGTGATGTCCACTCGTAGAGTTCTCCCCTTCAGAGCCCAAAGTACATCTGTCAAAGGGCAACCGCAAAAAGCGGACCCATTTTTACAGCCTCAACAACAGTTATGCCCTTATTTAAACTAGTTGTCTGCCTCCCCCTCCCTTCCATCTATCCCAAATCCAACCCATCCCAGAAAGTCCCACTTAAGCCCCATTTCTTCTGGGAAGTCAGCCCCGAAGCCCACAGCCCCCAGCAGCCTCTCCTTCCTCTGAACACCTGTGCTGTTGAGCATGTGGCTCAGAGATCTGTAGGTGAGACACTCGGACTTGAACTCTGGTTCCTCATTTATTAGCTGTGCAAAGTAGGCCAAATTACCTAACCTTCCCGAGCTTCAGTGTTCTCATCTGTAAACTGGGCTTAAGAGTAAAACCAACCTTATGGAGGATTCAAATGGGTCAATGTATGTGAACGATTTCACATGAGTATTATTATTACTGTGTTGCATTTTTTAAATCATAATAAGAGATGGTGTTACATTTATTGAGCGCTCACCATGTGCCAGGCGCTGTCCTAAACTAGTGTGTTAACTGATGCAAGGGGTGATTTCTGGACTTGAACTTGAAGCCTGCACTTGTCAGCGTTAAGTCTCTCCTGGGGCTGTGCCTTATACGCCTTCATACCCTCTCCCAGTTCCAAGAGGAGAGCGGAGAAGAGTTGAGTCACTTATGTCGAGCTGCACTGTGGGGAGAGGGAAATGAAAGCCCGTCCCACTCCCTGAGCAGCTTGACTTGGAGGGGGCATCGAGTCCAAGGCAGAATCAATCAGTATTTGGGTGGGCCTGGAAGCTCTTGGGCAGAGCGGCTCACCGCTGGTCCTGCTCCCTAGGTCTGTGGAGCAGCATCTTCTCCCTGAACCTGCTCGATGCCTGGAATTTGTCCCACACCTCGGAGGAGTTTTTCCACAGGTGGACAAGGGAGAGAGTGCATGATATAGGTGGGTGACCCACTGGCTTCCCCTCCTGGTTGGGCGATGGCGGGGGTGGGGAAGGTGGGTCAGCAACTGAGGACCAGTCCACCTGCCACGTGTTTCAACATCATCCCTATGGCCCACGGAAATAGGAAGGCAGCTAGGGGGTCTTCCCTGCCTGGAAAGGAGGGTGATTGCAGTTGGATACACCTTTGCCAGCTCTGGCCTGGCCCGGGGGAGTGGATGCACCGTGTGGTAGGCTTGGAAGAACTGCACGGCGCCCAGGAGAGCTGCAGAGGGTGGGGATCTATGAATGCAGTTAAAGGTCACCCTTCTGGACTCTCTGTTTTCTCTGGAACCCCTCCTTGCCTGTCACCCCACTCCTTCTCCTCTACCCTGCCCCTGTTCTATGTCTCTCCCCTGGGTCCTCCTGGCTCCGAGAACTAGACAAGGAAGGTGTGCACTGCACTTACAGGCTGACCCCTGGGTGCAGGGCAACCATGCGGTGCTTCACCTGGGCAATCTGGGGACTCCAGCTCTGTAACCTGTCCTCCATCCACCCCCCCTCCCCTGCAGAAGATGAGCCACTCCTACCTGAAATCCCCAAATGTGATGCCAACATGCTGGACACCACGGTGGTGACGCCAGGGTCATGGCTGTCCAATACTTTCCGCAACATCCTCACCTCCCGGGCCTTTGTGTCTGAGTTCCACAACTTCCTGCTGGGGCTGCAGATGCACACTGACTACTACCAGAACGGCCAGTTCTCCACGTGGAAGGGTAACCTTACCTGCTGCCCCTTGAGGCCTACCTCTGTTTAGAGGAAAGGGAAGTAGATGTGGAGGGAGAAAGGATGAGAAAACTCCTCTGCCCATGTTCATTGGGCCCAAGTGGCAGACTCTCCCCATAGTGTATTCTACATCTGGTGATGCCTTGAACAACGGGTGGAGTGGGGGTGTACTTAATTAATTGAATCTGTACAATGACTCTATACGGCATCTGTATAACAATCCCAGCAGGTAGAAGTTGACCCCATTTTACAGTTGGGGAAGTATGGGCCCTGACTTTCTACAGTTGTGTTCTGGGGACACCTTTTTTTTTTTTCCTTCATTTTTAAAAAAATGTATTTATTTTATTTATTTTTGGCTGAGTTGGGTCTTCGTTGCTGTGCGCGGGTTTTCTCTAGTTGCGGCAAGTGAGGGCTACTCTTCGTTGCGGTGCGCGGGCCTCTCGTTGCAGTGGCTTCTCTCACGGCAGAGCACGGGCTCTAGGCACGCGGGCTTCCGCAGTTATGGCATGTGGGCTCAGTAGTTGTGGCGCACAGGTTTAGTTGCTCCGCGGCATGTGGGATCTTCCAGGACCAGGGCGCGAACCCGTGTCCCCTGCATTGGCAGGCGGATTCTTAACCACTGCACCACCAGGGAAGCCCCTGGGGACACCTTTTAATGTAAGTGCTGCCCCCGGAGTTGGGCAGGGATGGCCCAGCCCAGGCTCCTCCAAATGGTGAGTGGCAGAGCTGGCTCTTAAACTGTGGTCTTGCAGCTTCAACTCAGGAGTTCGTCCCCACCCTGCTGAGGCTCTAAATTTGACTTTCCACCATCTTTGGTATTTTACTTGGCCACAGCCTGCAATGGCTGCTTGAGCCTAGGCTAATAATCTTTGTCCTCACTATCTGGGGCAGAAAAGGCAGCTGGCTCTGGGCCCACGGTTTGCACTAATTTATAGGATAGTCTTAAGCCCCTGCTACACCACAAATTCTGTGGCTGAGCCTTAGTGGGCTTTCTGTGCATGTTCCATAAAAGACTTGCTAAACTCCCCAGATAATGCTGTTCTTCTTCAGCCTACCCAAGGGGACACTGGGACTCACCGGGTACCCTGGCCAAGGGGAGGGCTGGAGGCCAGGCTGAAGTGGATGAGCTCCGGGCAGGGCATCCCATCCCCACCAGGTGCCTCTGACCATCTGCTGAGATCAGGGCGCCAAGGAGTAAGGATAACCACAAGCCTTGACTTTCAGACTCGGTGCTAGATGGCTTCCCAAACAAGCTGACAGCGTCCGTGAACCACTTGTGCCTGCTGGACACTGCATTCGTCATCAACTCCAGCTACCCGCCCATCCTCAGGCCGGAGAGAAAAGCTGACCTCATCATCCACCTCAATTACTGTGCTGGGTCCCAGACAAAGGCAAGTTTGGCAAAGAAAGGCTCCCACCCCACTCCCCACAGGCTCCTAGACTTAGCATCGGAGAAGCTCAAGCCACCATCCCTGATGGAGGTTACACCTCCAAACCTCAGGGGCGTAGCCCGCTGGCCCTCATGCAATGGGTTTACTAGATTCACTGAGCTAATTCCAATTTTATTCTTACATTTGAGCATTTCCCATATTTGGCAATTCTTTAGCTGCAAAATAAAAAAGAGTTTAAAAAATAACCTTAGGGCTTCCCTGGTGGCACAGTGGTGAAGAATCTGCCTGCCAATTCAGGGGACATGGGTTCGAGCCCTTGTCCGGGAAGAACCCACATGCCGCGGAGCAACTAAGCCCGTGCACTACAACTACCGAGCCTGTGCTCTAGAGGCCACGAGCCACAACTGCTGAGCCCGCGTGCCACAACTACTGAAGCCCGTGTGCCTAGAGCCCGTGCTCTGTAACAAGAGAAGCCACTGAAGTGAGAAGCCCGCACATGGCAATGAAGACCCAATGCAGCCAAAAATTAATTAATTAATTAATTAATTAAAAAAATAATAATAATAACCTTAATAGAGCCCAGTCAATTGTAAAGTTTTGTACCACTTCAGGAGCTTGTAATGTCCTATGTTCAAAGTGATCACATGGTCTCCCCACTACCAGGAAGTATGAGCCTCCATGTAATTACACCAAAGAGTTAGGACCAGAGATTTTTATTTATTTTTATTTATTTCCTTTTGAAAAGTTCTGGATTTTCAAGGGAAAGAAACTGTTTTTTGGTCTACTTTATTTATTTTATTATTATTTTTTATACAGCAGGTTCTTATTAGTCATCAATTTTATACACATCAGTGTATACATGTCAATCCCAATCGCCCAATTCAGCACACTACCATCCCCAACCCCCTGGGGTTTTCCCCCATTGATGTCCATAAGTTTGTTCTCTACATCTGTGTCTCAACTTCTGTCCTGCAAACTGGTTCATCTGTACCATTTTTCTAGGTTCCACATACATGCATTAATATACGATATTTGTTTTTCTCTTTCTGACTTACTTCACTCTCTCTGACAGTCTCTAGATCCATCCACGTCTCAACAAATGACTCAGTTTCGTTCCTTTTTATGGCTGAGTAATATTCCATTGTATATATGTACCACATCTTCTTTATCCATTCATCTGTCGATGGGCATTTACGTTGCTTCCATGACCTGGCTATTGTAAATAGTGCTGCAATGAATATTGGGGTGCATGTGTCTTTTTGAATTATGGTTTTCTCTGGGTATATGCCCAGTAGTGGGATTGCTGGGTCATATGGTAATTCTATTTTTAGTTTTTTAAAGAACCTCCATAATGTTCTCCATAGTGGCTGTATCAATTTACATTCCCACCAACAGTGCAAGAGGGTTCCCTTTTCTCCACACCCTCTCCAGCATTTGTTGTTTGTAGATTTTCTGATGATGCCCATTCTAACTGGTGTGAGGTGACACCTCATTGTAGTTTTGATTTGCATTTCTCTAGTTATTAGTGATGTTGTTGAGCAGCTTTTCATGTGCTTCTTGGCCATATATATGTCTTCTTTGGAGAAATGTCTATTTAGGTCTTCTGCCCATTTTTGGATTGGGTTGTTTGTTTCTTTAATATTGAGCTGCATGAGCTGTTTATATATTTTGGAGATTAATCCTTTGTCCATTGATTCATTTGCAAATATTTTCTCCCATTCTGAGGGTTGTCTTTTCATCTTGTTCATGGTTTCCTTTGCTGTGCAAAAGCTTTGAAGTTTCATTAGGTCCCATTTGTTTATTTTTGTTTTTATTTCCAGTACTCTAGGAGGTAGATCAAAAAAGATCTTGCTGTGATTTATGTCAAAGAGTGTTCTTCCTATGTTTTCCTCTAAGAGTTTTATAGTGTCCGGTCTTACATTTAGGTCTCTAATCCATTTTGAGTTTATTTTTATGTATGGTGTTAGAGTGTTCTAATTTCATTCTTTTACATGTAGCTGTCCAGTTTTCCCAGCACCACTTATTGAAGAGACTGTCTTTTCTCCATTGTATATCTTTGTCTCCTTTGTCATAGATTAGTTGAACATAGGCGCATGGGTTTATCTCTGGGCTTCCTATCTTGTCCATTGATCTATGTTTCTGTTTTTGTGCCAGTACCATATTGTCTTGATTACTGTAGCTTTGTGGTATAGTCTGAAGTCAGGGAGTCTGATTCCTCCAGCTCCGTTTTTTCCCCTCCAGATTGCTTTGGCTATTCGGGGTCTTTTGTGTCTCCATACAAATTTTAAGATGATTTGTTCTAGTTCTGTACAAAATGCCATTGCTAATTTGATAGGGATTGCATTAAATCTGTAGATTGCTTTGGGTAGTATAGTCATTTTCACAATATTGATGCTTCCAATCCAAGAACATGGTATATCTCTCCATCTGTTGGTATCATCTTTAATTTCTTTCATCAGTGTCTTATAGTTTTCTGCATACAGGTCTTTTGTCTCCCTAGGTAGGTTTATTCCTAGGTATTTTATTCTTTTTGTTGCAGTGGTAAATGGGAGTGTTTCCTTAATTTCTCTTCAGATTTTTCATTAGTGTATAGGAATGCAAGAGATTTCTGTGCATTAATTTTGTATCCTGCAACTTAACTAAATTCATTGATTAACTCTAGTAGTTTTCTGGTGGCATTTTTAGGATTCTCTTTGTATAGTATCATGTCATCTGCAAACAGTGACAGTTTTACTTCTTCTTTTCCAATTTGTATTCCTTTTATTTCTTTTTCTTCTCTGATGCCATGGCTAGGACTTCCAAAACTATGTTGAATAATAGTGGTGAGAGTGGATACCCTTGTCTTATTCCTGATCTTAGAGAAAATGCTTTCAGTTTTTCACCATTGACATTGATGTTTGCTGTGGGTTTGTTGTATATGGCCTTTATTATGTTGAGGTAGGTTCCCTCTATGCCCAAGTTCTGGAGAGTTTTTATCATAAATTGGTATTGAGTTTTGTCACAAGCTTTTTCTGCATCTATTGAGATGATCATATGGTTTTTATTCTTCAATTTGTTAATATGGTGTATAACATTGATTGATTTCCGTATATTGAAGAATCCTTACATCCCTGGGATAAATCCCACTTGATCATGGTGTATGATCCTTTTAATGTGCTGTTGGATTCTGTTTGCTGGTATTTTGTTGAGGATTTTTGCATCTATATTCATCAGTGATATTGGTCTATAATTTTCTTTTTTTGTAGTATCTTTGTCTGGTTTTGGTATCAGGGTGATGGTGGCCTCATAGAATGAGTTTGGGAGTGTTCCTTCCTCTGCAATTTTTTGGAAGAGTTTGAGAAGGATGGGTGTTATTTCTTCTCTAAATGTTTGATAGAATGCACCTGTGAAGCCACCTGGTCCTGAACTTTTGTTTGTTGGAAGATTTTTAATCACAGTTTCAATTTCATTACTTGTGATTGGTCTGTTCTTATTTTCTTTTTCTTCCGGGTTCAGTATGGGAAGGTTATACCTTTCTAAGAATTTGCCCATTTCTTCCACGTTGTCCATTTTATTGGCATAGAGTTGCTTGTAGTAGTCTCTTAGGGTGCTTTGTATTTCTGCAGCGTCTGTTGTAACTTCTCCTTTTTCATTTCTAATTTTATTGATTTGAGTCCTCTCCCTATTTTTCTTGATGAGTCTGGCTAATGG